GCTGGACGCCAGCCCAGCAGTGCCCCTCTGGCTGGCCAAGGGGAGCAAGCCACAGCGGGTGTCTGAGTGGTGGAGGGGCTGGAGCAGCTGACCGGGCACCCAGGAAAGCTGCGAGGAGAAGAGAAGAAATGGCGCTGGGCAGCGAGCGCGTCAGGTGATCAGTCAGACACACGTGTCCAGACCTGGGCGCCCCCCCATGCTTGCACACGCGCGTGCACAGACTAGCGCACACGCAGACTCACAGACGCAAGGGCACACATGCAAACACAGACATGCACACCACACGTGCAAACACACACAGACCAATACAAGTGCGCCCCCCCCCGCCGCAGGGTTTGCAATAGGGACCAGGCCACTGGCCCAGCCCTTCCACCACCGTGAGCAGGACCCTGTCAAGGCCCTGCTGTCTGCCCCCCTCCAGGTCTGGGTGCCATTTCCCTGAGCAGGGGGGATGACAGCTCCCCCGTCCCCTGGGCCTTCAGCACCACCTCCGGCAGGGTCAGGCTGCAGAACCGGGCCAGAACTGTGCCCCACTCCTGTGCCAGGCTAGCAGGGGGAGGGGCCAGCTGAGAGGGGTCTCATACCAGGTGAGGGGCAAGGGGGCTGAATTTAGAGCCTTCCTCGCCAGCCACCTGTGGGCAGCCAGGCCCCTCCAGCTCTGCGCATTAGTGTTTGGGCATCAGGCTTGGCTGAGGGTCCTGCCAGCTGGCACTGCCGGTGGCCAGGGACCTAGTCAAACACCCGGGTCCCCCTCCCCTCCCTCAGAGACCAAAGCAATCAGCAGGACTGGGGGGCAGGGGAGGCTGAAGCTTCCTGACATCTGTCCCGCCCCTGCCCCAAACCCTATTTCCTAGACAAGCTGCTCAGCAGAGCGGAGGTACGCAGGGCAGCGTGTTTCCTCAGGACGGGGACTTCACAGTGTTCCTAGGAGCTTAAGACATTTTGCACCAATAGTGCAAAGAGACGAGGTCACAGCCCACCCCCAACTCAGCAGCCCCGTTGTCTCTGAACCGACCTGCCTGATGCTGGAGCCCGCCTGGAGCGAGCGGCTGCAGAGCGCGGCAGGGACTGGGGAGCAGCACCCACCCTAGGCGGTGTGATGGGGGCGGGGGGACACCATGTGTAACCCTGTGATCAGACAATGGGGTGGGGGGACAGTCGCTATTCGGAGCTGCCCCCCACAGCGTTCCTGCTGGGGAACAATCAGGGCTCCTGGGCTGCAGCTTTAAGCCGGGGGAGGAGGGGAGCCTGGGAGGGCCAGGAGAGCTTGCAGGAGTCCCAGCATCTCCACGGGTTTATAGAGAGGCCCCAGAATCAGAACCACCTCCCCCCACACGGGGGTTTGGATCAGAACCAGCCTTTCGCCTGGGGTTTGCAGTTGACCCATTTTTAGCCCCCTTCCTCCAGCACAGACCAGGAACAGCTGAAGACGCTGTGCCCGTCGCTAGCCACTTGGTGCCAAGCTGGAGTGGTGCCAGGCGGGGAAGAGACTGCCGGGTTCTGAAGCCAATTGCTAGCCCCAAGCATTCAAACTGGAGCTGTTTTATTAACTCATCCAATTTGGGTCCCTTTTCCCTGCCCTCCAAGCTGCACTCGCTTCCTGGTTTCTAGCTTTTCTCCGCAACCACCCCAGAGAAAAATCTTTTTCTTTTTTTAAATGAAAGCTGAAGTTTTCCCCTAACCCCCTGACGCTGGGAGCTGGGGCTTTACGAAAAGCATCAACCAGTGGGAGGAGAGCTGGCAACGCTGAGTAACGGGCCGGGATACTGCAGCTCACACCACCCCGGGCAGGGTAGGACCGATTACAGAAAGCCAGAATATCTGATGGGGAAACGTCCTCCTATATTGTACAGAATGGGCCACGTCTCCAAGCATGCGGCACCCACCCCTGGGCCCAGGTTTTCCACGGAGCCTGCGATGCTGGGGGCCGAGATTGTTTGAAAACCTGGGCCCTTCGTGGGTGCCGGGCCCTCGCGTCTCCACCTCTCCCAAACACAGGTTGCTCTGGGAATATACTGCAACAGGCAAGGCTAATACCAAAGGGGGCTCCAAAAACCTCTCTCCCCGCCAAAGAATCAACTCCTTCCATGGCTGCCGCTGGCTCCTGTGCCCTGGTCACAATGCTGACGGGACAGCTCCTCGGCCTAGGCCCACCACGTCCGGGTTCACGGCGGTGGCTGGGATCCCTGGCCAGCACACCAAGCTTTACGCCAGATCAAACCAACCAACCAATCAACAACAAAAGGTGTGTGGTTTTTTTTTTTTTTTGTAAAATAACCCGTAAAAAGATTTTTTTTAATTAAAAAAATTTATATATATAATTATATAATTATATATATATATATATATATATATATATATATTAGCTTAAATCGGAGCGGCGTTAACCCTGTGGTGGCTCTCCTCACCCAGACCTGAACCTTAAACGGTACATTCAGAGTAAGCCGATCCCCCGCGCCATGGAGCAGCCCCCGCCCCCCCACCCCCGTTGGCCTCTCGACTGAGGTAAGAAAAAGAAAATTCACGCCCTAAAACGGGTAAGGAACAGCTTAAAAACGAACTCCCTCCACTGGATATTGATATAGATGGATAGATACAAATACAAGGCGCAAATCATTGGCCGGGGGTTTGCGGACAGACAGCTGGGGAAACGGGGGTGCGTGGGGGGGGTCCAAAGCATGGCTGACTACCAGTAAGTGCCCCCTACAGGCAGGGGTAAGTGAGTGCAGCTTCTCCGCACAAGGAGTGAAATTGAAAAGTCCAGAAAGTCTGACGTCCTTTGGGCCTTAGATCTGCCCCCTGGACGTTTAAATTCCTCAGTGACTGTTCCCCCCCAACCCCACCCGCTTTAAGAGAAAGAAAAGGGAAAAGCAGCGGAGGAGAAACTGAAGAGCCGGGCGGGCCAAGCCCCCGGGGCTGGCTAAGTGCAGAGGGACAGGCAGCTCCTTGCTACGAGCGCCGCGTCTCGCGCTCGCGGCAGAGGCTCAGCTCTGCTGGTTCAGCGTTAAGGATGGGTCGTGCCGGCGCCCCCCACGGCTGCTGGCAGGCTGCAGGGGTGGGTTATTCCAGTGCCTCGGGTACAGTCCCCGACAGGCGGTGCCGTGAACTCGCCTGCGCTGGGGAAGCCGCATCGGCCAATGCCGGGTTAAACACGCGGGGCCCGGCCGAGCTGGGATCGGAGACGCATGGGGGGGCACCCCAGGGCTGAGCCGGGTCTAAACACGCCTGCCGCGTCTCCTACGCCTCGTGCTTTCCCAGTGCGGGTGGGCCTCGGGCTGGGGACATGAAGGGTGACGGTGGGCGAGGGGGATCCCCGGGCACAGCAGGGAGTGTGCAGGGCCCATCCTGGTGACCACGGGGTCCTGGCTGTTGGGGGAAGTGGGGTGGCGGTGGCAGGAGAGGGATCAGCATGTCAAGCGGGGACGTAGACAACCAAAAAGCGACTCCGGGCCCAGTACAACTGAACTGCCCTGGCTTGGCCTGGCCCTAGCTCCCCCACGTGCCTAGAAAGGGGGACTCCCGGCCCCTGTGCCCAATAAGTGCCATTTTCCAGGGCTCCCCCATCCTTCCTCCCCCGCGCGCCCCTGCGTCCTGGAGAATCAAGGCTTTGAGGTGGTGAGGAGAGCTAGGCACTGGGATGGCAGTGCTGGCTGGGACGGCCTAGCTGGGGGGACAGGAGAGCACATGCTGCAGGCCAACACAGGGCAGACGACTGACGGCGTTAGTGCGAGCGGTGGCGGGGAGGGGGCCGTCCCATAGAAAGCGCGTGCTAAGGGCAGCCACCGACCCACTAAAAGCATGGGCCCCATGGGGAGCGGCGTGGGTGGGGCTCAGCGGATGGTCCTCCCCGGCCCCTTGCTGAGGAAGGGGTTCTCCCGGGGGCACGTTATCGGAGGTGATGAGCAGATGTTCCCTGCCCTGGGGGTATCAGAGTCAGACAGGCCACTAGAGGGGCAGGGACCTGGGCAGGGGGGGAGCCATCCAGGCAGAGCTGGTCAGAAAAAAGGCAAACTTCCCCATAGAAAATTATGACTTTTTGGCAAAATATTGAAAACTGCAATATTTCCATGCAAAATGGCACCGTGCTGCCTGATGGGAGTTGTAGGTCGGATGCCTCACGCTCCCATTCTCCTCCAGGGGCTGCTTTCTTGGGCTGGACTCCATCCTCCATGATGCCCCAGTGACTGTTCTTGGGCAGGGGGGGTCCATGGGAGCCTCTGGCCATGGTGCATCATGGGAGATGGAGTCTGACCAGAGAGTCCATCCCATAGAGATGAATGGGAGCTCGAGGCCCTCAAACCACAACTCCCAGGAGGTACGGCGGCACAAGTCCGAATTCAGCTCTAAGTTTTCTGGTGTTTGTTCCCTCAACGAAGCATCAAAACTTTCCGTGGGGAGCAGACTCTGCATGAAAAAAATGGCTCAAAGGAAAACCAAACTGTCCTGCGAGAGATTGTTTAAAGCCAATTTTTTTGACCAGCTCTTATCACCCCTCCCGTCCCCAGCACAGCCCCCAACCCCTGCGGGCTGAAGCCCCTCTCCCTTGCCCATGACTGCCTCGCCTTCAGGAAAGTGTCGGGACTACAGCCCTCGGCAGGCGCTGGGGGAGAGGTGGGTGTGCTGGGGGGATTGAGGTGTCAGGACAGACCTGCCTGCCCCATCCAGCCTGAGAGGTAGATGGGCCGACGTGGCGGGTTTTTGCGGGGGAGGCGGGAAGAGGGCAAGGGACCTGAAAGCCCAACCTCGGAGCCCCGATTCTCCAGTGTGGCAGGGAGCTGACATTCTCCGGTGGTCCAACCCTGCAACCCTGGCATGGGGTTCAGCTGGCACCCTGGCTTCGCGCCCTGTAGTTCGATGGGAAATCGAGGCACCCCTGGGAATCTAGCCAGCGATTTCCCGCTGGAGTTTTGTCTTTCAATAAAAAAAAGTGCATTTGTCATTCATGCTCGGCTCCATGGCCTGAACACCCCCCCCTCCTAGCCTCACCCCCTCTCCCTGCGCCCAGGTTCTCCCCGCTAATAATTTAATAGCTTTTCTCTTCTCAAAGTGCAGTTAGTTAATATTTTAGCCTCTCAGGGAGGGAATAAATGCTAAAAAGAACAAAAACAAAATCACCTAAGGAAATAATAAGGGAAACAAACGCTCTGACGTCTGGGACTGTCCTGTGCAAACAAACAAAATTCATAAAGTCCGTGGAACGAGAGAGGTTTATTTGGGGGGAGCCGTGAGGTGCCAGCTGAGCCCAGTGCCAGGGAGGTGATGGGACGGAGAATACTGTGTGTGGGGGGGTTCGTCCTGCAGTTGGGTGGAAATCAGGGCTATGTATCCATCCCCCCAACACCCCCATAACTGAGGGGTTCAGAGGAAAGGAGATCCAGGTTCCACTTATCCTCCCCTGCTACTCCAAATCCAACTCCCCCCAAGCCAAGCCCAAGTTTTGTGTGGTTTTTGAAAAGTTTTGCCCCTCCCCCCACCCCGACAGCAGCCCCGCCCCCATGGTCCCACCCCCTCCACGGGGGTGGGGGGCGGGGGCGGCACTGCCGGTTGACACCCACGCGCAATATTTAGAAAAACAAACCAAAACGAAAAAGAACCAAGTAAAACGTGTCCAGGAGGGGCTGGGGGCGGGGCTCTCGCCCGAGTCCTGGCCCCGCCCCCTGGCCCCCTCCCCTCCCCCCCGCCCTAGACTTCCTGATCCTCAAAGACCTCGAGGAAGAGGGGTGGGAACAGCTCGGTGGGGCACTCCACCTTCATGTGCAGGAAGCGGCTGGCGTGGCAGGCTCCGATCATGCGCAGGTCGGTCACCTTCATCAGCAGCTTGGGCCAGAAGTGGGGAATGTTGTGTTTGCGATAGTTGATGTAGTGTTCGAACGCCAGCAGGAAGGTCTCCTGGCACTTCTCGATCTTCTCCACCCGCAACAGCCCGGTGCGGTCTGCGGGCGAGACGGGCGTCAGGGGGCCACGCAGCCTCCGCCCGAGGGTCGAGCCCCCGGCTGCCCTCTGTGCCTACCGCTGGCTATCCGCCCCTCTCCATCCAACCCCCACACCGCGCCCCCTCTATCCACCCCTCCCTCCCCACCTCTTCCCCTCTGCCCCCCCAGCCGCCTCCCCATCTGGCTGTTCAGTCCCATCATTACCGCTGTATCTCCACCCCATAGATGCTCCTTTATCCGTTCATCTCCACAACTACCCGCTATCTACCCCCACCACAAGCTCTCTGTCTCCAGCTCTCTCTGATACCTGAGCAACGGCTCCGGCTCTGGGCTCGCTGGCTGCACCGGGGACTTTGTCTCCTGCGCCCTGGGCCTCCCCCCTGGCGCTCTTTGCGGGCACCAGCAGCGGGAGCTTCACCCTCCCTACAGACGCTGAGCTGGTGCATCCCCGCAGCGTGGGGACCCCAGCAAGGGAAGCTGATGGGGGGGCGGGGGCAGGCCATGGAGATCTCAGCTGAGCTCACAAGGGGAGGAAGGAACCGCCCCCTAGCCCCATGGGCAGCATCGGCCATGTGGCCTGGTGCATGATGGGAATATCCCTCCCCAGCAGCAGGGCCCAGTGGGTGAGGGGGCGGCCGCCCCCCCGCTGGCCCTTACCTGAGGACATGAGCAGCACGGCCTGGAGCAGGGCCACCTCCGTGTCGTCCAGGTTGAAGGCGGAGAGCGACTTGCCCAGGTCGAAGATGGCGTCGGACACCACGCCCAGCCCGCCGTTCTTCAGCTGCTCCCGCTTGACGGCCATCTCGCCGCTCAGTGTCAGCGTCTCGCTCTCGGGGTCGTAGCGCACGGCCGCCCGCAGCGACATGATCTCCATGCAGCAGCCCTTCAGCAGGATGATCTGGTCCTCGCAAGGCAGCTGCCGCGGGGCGGGGAGAGGGGGAGTCAGACACGTGGGGGGTGGGCAGGGTCGGGAGAGACCCTCGGCTGCCCCGTGCTCCGCCCACTGCCCCCCTTGGACTCCTCCCCCAGGCCCTGCCCCTCCCCGTCTCCCCCTGCTTTTAACCCCCTCTCTGCCCTCCCCCAACCCATCTCCCCTCTCCCGCCGACCACCCTCCCCCTGCCCCCGCCTACCTCTGAAAACATGGGCAGTTTTTTGGCAAAGTCCACCACGCGGGTGATGGCTGGGGTAATGATTTTTGTAAACTCGCTGAACGCCTCCAGGTCAACCTTGTCCCCATCAGGCATGGAGGCCATAGGCGACTGGCCGATGTCCTCGGGCTGTTGGGAAGGCCGGGACAGCCCGTCAGGGAGCCGGCCCGCCCATTGCGCTGCCTGGACCCTTCTCCCCAGCCTCCTCCCTGCATGAGCCCCCACTGCCCCCAACCCTGGGAGAGGGGCTCAGGGCTTGTCCTCTTGGGCCCCAGGCAGGCTCGGGGGGAGCAGCCTCCATCTGGGCCCCTTGTGGCCAGGTTAGGGGAGAGGTGGGGGGGGGGACAGGGTAAGAGAGGGAGCCATTCGCCCAGGGCACAGTGTCAGGAAGAGAACCCAGGAGTCCTGGCACCCTCTCCCCGCGCCTTGTCTCTCCCATGGCCCCACGGGGCTGTGGCCAGGAGAGGGAGCCCCCTCAGCAGCCGAACCCTGGCTGGCACAGGAGGGGGGCCGTGGGACACCCGGCCTCCCCACTCAGAACTGTGCCCTTCACTCACCCACATGAGGTGGCATTAACCCCTTGGCAGCTGCAGGGGCCAGGGGGTGAGGCAGGATCAGGGCATGGATGAGCCCTTTGGAGGGGGGCTGGGTTTCCTCCCACTCGCTCCCGGGAGGACCCATCATTCTCCTGCGCTGCAGGTTTTGGGGTTAGCCTCTGCCCACCCCGTCTGAGCTCCAGCCAGACCCCTGGGCATTGCCCAGCAGCCAGCATCAGAGCCTGAATGGAACCGGGCTCATTCTCCAGGGTGTTGAGCCAGCAACAGGGCTGGGGAGAGAACCCAGGAGTCCTAGCTCCCAGCCCCCGGCCCCAACCCACTAGACCCGGCCTAGGTCAGCAGAGTTGGGAGGGCGCCCCCATCTGGCAGCGCTTTGGTGACCCACGTCTGAAATGAATTTGCTGAGTCTCAGCCCAGTTCCCAACGGCTGCATCCTGAGACTCCCCTTCTATCCTGACTGGCCCATATGAGCTCCCTGGGCTCAGCAATGGCTGAGCGGGGCACAGAGCCGGAGGGTGGCCCTGCCCCCATGACGGAGGATGGGTGCGTCACAGGCGGCCTCGCAGAGCCAGTGGGAGAGGACGGGCTCAGGTTAGTGTTCTGTGATCCAGCGCCCACTTGGAGAGGACAGTGTCGTGCTGCCAGATTTCTAATGGGCCCATCACCATGGTCTCTAGGCTCTGAGCCCAACGGGAAAGGGACCTCACTCCCACACCGGAAGGGGAGCAGGACGGGTCCCCCACACGGGCTGCACAGACACCAGCCAAGGCCAGAGCACAGGGGCGGGATCAAAGTGTCCCCTGCAAACTGCCGGCTCCTTGCAGTGGTGCGGCAGCTCTGGGCACCGGGGAGGGCCGTGTGCTCGAGCGGGCATTGCCCAGCAGGCCAGGGCACGTGAACGTGCGCGCGCCTGACTGCGGCTTGCACGCCTGCGAGGGGGCATACGGGCAGGGCTCGTCCGTGGTGGCTTGCCCCCAGGGTGAGCGGGCATACGGGCGGGCGTAGGCGAGGGGTCCGGGTCCGGGTCCAGGTCCGGGCGCTCACCAGGAATTTCCGCTTCTGTTTCCAGTGGCTGCCCTGGGCGTTGGTGCTGCGATGCGCCTCCGTCACCACGTGGATCAGCTCCCACTCCTCGGCGCTGGGCTCCGGGCGGTGCTGCAGGGTCTTGATCATCTCCTCCTTGCGCCGCCGCTCCCGGTTCTCCTCGATCAGCTTCCGCTTGGCCACCCGCTTGGAGTCGTCCAGCACCACTAGGGGGCAGCATGCAGAGGGGGCGGGGCGTGAGCGCCGGGGGCGGGGCCCGACCGATCCAACCCCAGCTCAGTTCCAGGCAGCGGCCGTGGCGATTGGCCAGGGAGCCGCAGCACAGGACTGGGGGAGCCTTTCAATGGGCAGAAGGGGCACCCCGCGTCCTGGGCGGGGAATCCCGATGCCACGTTCCACGTGACACCAGTGCGAAGTGAGGGGCCTGGGGCTACCCACAGGGGCAGCCCCTTTCTGGGGGCTCTGCCCCACCTGCCTCCACGGGTATGGAGGGTGGTCACCGCCCTCCCCACCCCCCCCCTCACACCCCACACCGGGGGGGGGGGAATACGTGTCATTGTCTCACACTTGCAACCCCACCCCTCCGGCGTTAACCCCTTGCTGCCCTCGCAGCTGCCCCCGGCCACGGTACCTGCTATGGCCCGCTGGCTTGTGGCTGGAAGAGGCGGGGGCTAGCAATGGAGGCGGGGCCAGGGTCCCCCCTCCCTGGCAGGCACCCGACCTGGGGAAACGGCCCCCCCCAGACAGGCCTGTAGCAGGGACTGCAGTAGCTGCTCCAATACCGGGCGAGTGAGCCTGGCCATGCGCTGCCTCCCCCCACGCCCTTGGCCTTGGCCCCCCCCCACCAGCCGCGGGCTGCCCCTCCCCCCTTACAGTCCATGGCCATGCCCACGGCGATGCACTTCTTGAAGCGGCAGAGCTGGCATTGGTTGCGGGTGATCTTGTCGATGACACAGCTGCCATCGTACTTGCAGGAGTAGGTCGGGTGCAGGTTCTTCTGGATGGTCCGTCGGAAAAAGCCCTGCGGGGAGCAGGACAGGCCCTGGTGAGACCCCCGGGCCGGGCCAGCCCCGAACCTATCCACCCCCGCCCCTGGAAAGGCGGGTGCAGGGGGAGGCCCCCAGAGGAACAAGCCCCCATGCAGCCCCACAGGGTCCTAAACAGGCGCAAGGCTGGTGTCGTGGGGGTGGCTCTCCTGGCACAGGGGTGCAGCCCCCGCTGAGGTGCAGCCCAGTTACGTGACAGGTTAGAGCAGGCAGAAGCGATGGAGGATCCTGGGTCCCCCTCCTCCAACGTTACCACAGCTCCCCTGCCCCAGAGGGGAGAGCGCCCCAGTGAGCCTCCCGCAGCCTGGGAAACTGAGCTCAATGATAGGAAGGTGCCCCCTACTGAGCCGCCACCCAGAGGTCTCCCCTCCACATGCAGACCAAGCCTAATGCTGCTGAGCTCGTGAGACACCCAGGCGCCTCCCTTGCCGGTGGGGGAGCCCGCTGCCCCGCAGGTGTGGGGGTGGCCGGGCCATGTCTCACCTTGCAGCCCTCGCAGGTGATGCAGCGGTAGTGGTAGCCAGTCGCCTTGTCACCGCACACGACGCATTGTTCATCTTTGTCCAGGTAACTAGGGATGTACCCTGGGGAGGAGGGAGCCCAGAGGTTACAGCCCTGCGGAGCCAGCGCTGTGGGGAGGGAGGGAGGGAGGGAGCCCCACGGCCTGCAGGAAGCGGGTGCGGTGGCAGAAGAATCCCGCAGCCTGGGACAGCCCCAGGGGTGGCAGGGACCCAGGCCCTGTGCCAGTAGGCTGGAGCCCCGGGGGGGACCCGTTCACCCAGCCAGACACCAGGTGCGACTGTCCTGCTCCATGCTGTAGGCCCCGGGCGCAGAGCCCAGGGCTGGGCAGCACACGGGCAAGGAAGGACCCAGGTGGGGCAGGGTGTCACAGAGAACCGGGGCCAGGGGCAGGTGCCAAGCAGCAGGCGAGCAGGGCACAGAGCGGAGGCAACGCAGACGTGTCCAGCGGGCCGCTGAGGAGCTGACAGCCAAAGCACATTGCGCTCAGCAAGCGGGCAGGGGCTGCCCATGGACCCAGGGCTCGGGACACAGAGAGACGCCCCCATGGTGCCTTGTTCTGGCAGGCGGGGACACGGGCGGGCGGAGGGGGCAGCTCAGGTGGCGCCGGGTGCGGCTGGCAGTGCCGGGAGGAACCAAGGGCTTGCACGGAAAATGCCAGACGCTGCAACCCAGGAACTTGACTCAGGAAACACAGACGCAGGTGGGCACAGAGCCCCCCTAAGCTGCCCATGCCCCCCCACGCCGTCCCCTCCCACACCAGCCCCTCCATGTTCCACACCCCTGTTGTGCTGCCCCCTCCACGCCTCTAAAAGCATCCGGCCCTGCTCCCATCCCAGCCGGGAAGCCCTGCCAGCCTTGTCCCTGGGACAGGCCCCCGCCCCCGTCACGGAGGTCGTGTTGTTTGCTGAGCCAGTGGGTTTATCTCCCGCCGGCAGGGCCCCACTGTCCGGCCTGCTGGAGCTGATACCCTGACCTGCCCCAGCCCAACCTCCCTGGGACTCGGAGCTGGGCCCCCCCCCCACGCCCTGGCCTGACCCTGAGACCCTCCCCAGGGCACTGTAGGAACGGATCTCCTTTGTGGGGGGCACACCGAACAGGGCAGGACCCTGCGCCCTCCTGGCCTGGACACCAAGTGCCCTGTGAAGGGGGCAATAACCCGCCCAGGGCTGGGGTGCCCCCCAGCCTGGGGCAGGGCCCAGTGACGAGGCCAAGGAGAAAACAGCCACATGCTTGACCCATCAGCTGGGGCACGAGACAACGCCCTGGGGTGCCCGCAGCCTGTCCTGGGGGCAGGGGGATGGGACAGGCCTGGCCCAGGGGTAGGGGGACACACGGTACCTGACATGCTGCTCTTCACCGAACATTGGCTGCTCTTTCTTTTGCGTTTCCCATCCAGCCACCTGCAGCAGAGCGAGAACAAGGCCTGGTTACTGGCCGCAGCGACACCCCCCGCGCCTCCCCCCCTCGGGAGCCCCCCCGACAGGCGGGTCGCCCCTCCTGTCCCCATTGCACAGTTGGGAAAACCGAGGCCTAGGGCAGAGACCCACAGGCCAGCCCCAGCTCAGGCTGCAGGTGCCAAGGGGCCAGCCAGGGGCGGTGACAGGCTGCTATCTGGGAGAGCAGGGGAGATAAGGGGGCTTGGGAGGGCCAGGGGGAGGCTCTGAGCCCCCCCACACAGCTTCCCGGCCCCAGGCCTCCTCCTCCCACCCACTGAGTGACCTCCACTGGCCCTATAAACCTGACGCCACCCCCCCGTCCCTCTAACCCTAACCCCATGCCCCCCAGCCCTGTAACTCCGACCCCGTCCCTCCCTCTGAACCAGACCCCATTCCTCCCCGTCCCTCTAACCCCAACCCCATCCCCCCCAGCTCTGTAACTCCGACCCCGTCCCTGCCTCTGACCCCGACCCCACAGCCCTCTGACCCAGACCTCATCCTCCCCAGCCCTCTAACCCCAACCCCATCCCCACCAGCCTTGTAACTCCAACCCTGTCCCTCCCTCTGACCCAGACCCCATCCCCCCGTCCCTCTAACCCCAACCCCATCCCCCCACAGCCCTGTAACTCCGACCCCATCCCTCCTTCTGACCCAGACCCCATCCCCCCCCGCAGCCCTGTAACTCCGACCCCGTCGCAGCCTCTGACCCCGACCCCACAGCCCTCTGACCCAGACCCCATCCCCCCCCAGCCCTGTAACTCCAACCCCATCCCTCCCTAACCCCACAGCCCTCTGACCCAGACCCCATTCCCCCCGTCCCTCTAACCCCAACCCCATCCCCCCCAGCCCTGTAACTCCCACCCTGTCCCCTCCCTCTGACCAGACCCTATCCCCGCCCCCCGTCCCTCTAACTCCAACCCCATCCCCCTCAACCCTATAACTCCCACCCTGTTCCTCCCTCTGACCTGGACCCCATTCCCCCACCACCACCCCGCCATCTAACCCTATCACCACCCCGCCCCGGCCTCTAACCTGATCCCGTCCCCCCCCCCGTGCAGTCTCACACTTTCCACGCCCTCAGAGTCTCAATAAACAGGAATCCAAGGGTTGGATTCAGAGGCCCCAGGGCACTGAGATCGGGGGGCGAGGGGGGCAGGGGGCGCGGAAGCTAGTCCCCAGCAGTGGCACCCAACCTGCCCAGTTCGGGGTGGGGTGGGGTGGGGGGGCAGATCCGCCCGCTGTGGGGGGGGGGGGGGAGGCGGCATGCCGGCTGCAGAGGGGCCTCGCATGCCCTTCCGTCCCCAGGACGGCCGAGCTCGGAGGGGTTTGCTGCAGCGACGCCCCAGGAACCCCCAGGCAGAGCGACGGGAAACTGGCCAAGCAAACCACAAGGTGGTGCCGTGACATGCCACGAGCGAAACAGCCCCCAGCTGGATGGGCGGGGGGCAGAGTCCAGGAAGGGGCGGGGGAATTTACCACCACAAATGGGCAACGGCCAGCGCCTCCTGGCTGCAGCCAGGGACTCCACCAACCACTGCCCTCTCGGACCTGCCTGCTGGGGCTCTTCCAGCTCCCTGGGTCCAAGAGGGGCCATTGGATTAGCACAGGGCAGGGGTCCCCCGCTTCAAGGCCTGGCAGGCATGGTGCAGGACAGGTGGGGGGGTCAGGGCAGGTGGGCACGGGGCAGAAGGGTGCGGGCCAGCCGGGGAGACAGGGTGTAGGGGACTGGGCAAGTGCAGGGCACACCGGGGGGCACAGGGCAGGGCAGGCCAGGGGGGCACGGGGCAGGAGGGCACAGGGCAGCCAAGGAGACAGGGCGTAGGGAACCAGGCAGGTGCAGGGCAGGCCAGGGGGGACAGGGCAGGAGGGCATGGGGCAGGAGGGCACAGGGCAGGTGGGGGACAGGGTAGGCCGGGGGCACAGGGCAGGAGGGCATGGGGCAGGGCAGGCCGGGGGCCATGAGGGCACAGGGCAGGCGGGGGGGGAAGGGCAGGATGGCACAAGGCAGGCCAGGGGGCACGGGGCAGGAGGGCACAGGGCAGGGCAGGCTGGGGGGCACGGGCCAGGATGGGGGAGCAGGGCAGGAGGGGGAGGGTCGCTGGCCCCCAGGGCCCACGGCTGGTTTTTCACTCTCAGTGACATTCAAAGACAAAATGTCCTTTTGGCCCAGCTGGCAGAGGCAGGTCGGCCAATCGGCAGCCAGGGGCCGGCAAGTCATTTGCATGGCGCGATTCCATTGGTGCGAGCGGCTGGAAAAGATCAGCCCCGGGTTTCCTGGGTGTGGGTCTGGCACCGAGCCAGGGGCATGGGGCTGGCACGGCCAAGGGGCTGCGGGCCGGGATTGAGGGGCACCGGCAGGGCTGTGCGTGGGGGACCGGGGAGCCCCGCCACCCCCCTGGGGCTGCTCCTGGGAGCGCCGCACTCCCTGGCACCTGCCAGGGGCCGACGCCCCCCCAGTCTCGGCTCTGTAGTGAGGGAAGGACGATCCTGCAGGGAGGGCAGCGCGGCGGAAGGGGGGCAGGCAGGCAGCACAGAGCCCAGGCATGACCCTGTGGGGCTGCACCACAAAAGGGGGGATTCTCCTGCTCCGAGGCCCGGAGCCGCCCAGGGGCTCAGAGGGTGACCCTGCCTTGGCCCAGCTCCTGGCCGGGGGGAGCCACGTGCTCCCCTGGGGAATCTGCCCCAGCCCTGCCTGTGCTCACACAGCTTGTTTACCAGCTGGGCACCGCCAGGGCGTGGGGCCCTCATCAGGGCTGCTGGGTCATCAGGGGACAGGAGCCTTCAGGGTAACGGGCTTCCTCCTGCCCTGCCTGACCCGGAGACTGCTCCCAGGGCAAATGAGGGCAAGCCGCTCCGTCGGCAAGGCGGGGCTGGAGTTGGGCAGAGAACCCCGGAGTCCTGTCTCTCCCCCTGCTCTAACCACTAGACCCCACTCCTCTCCCAGAGCTGGGGACAGAAGACAGGAGAGCTGTGGGGAGCCAGCACAAACCACTAGTCAGTTGTGTCCCTCCACTGCCCTGCCTCCCTTGGCCGGGGACCCTTTATCCCTCCCGACAGCAGCAGTAAATCACAGGCAACCTGATCCAGCGGCTCATGCCAACCCCTCCAGAGGAGGCCGGGGTGGAAAGCCCCGGCCCCAGCCCCACGTGGCTCTGCAGGGCTGGGCAGTGCTAGGGAGCATGTGTCAGCCCGGCCCCCACTTCCCCCGCCCTGAGAAGCCCCCCTCAGCGGGCCAGGGCCTCCAACGCTTCTCCTCCCATCCCAAGGCCCCCCGCCAGCAGGGGTGGCCCAGCACTTAGAGGGCAGCTAGCAGGAGCCGCAGGCTCCGCCCCACCGAGTCATTCTCAGGCAGGTAAATGCCCCAGGGCTGGGTTCCTGTGGAGTGACACTGCCATCCGGTGGCCAGGTGTGCCAATCACAGGTGCACATCTCTGGCCCACACATCCCTGGGCTCCGCTCTCGGCCAAAGATGGGAATATGCGGGGAGACCTTGGATACGTTGCCTCCCTCCTCCGTGCCTCAGTTTCCCCCTCTGTAGGAGGGCACCTGCCTCCAGGGAGTGCTGGATGGGGGTAGTCACGGTCTGCACCCCTCGGAGCAGAGAGCTCCCCCACAGCAGTGCGAGGGTTAAGGGGCTGGTGACCCAAGGCCGGGATGTGAGGGACCCTGAGAGTGCGGGAGAGCATGTGCGTGCACAGAGATCTGCACAAGTGGTTGTGCACACACCTCGAGCCTCGCATGTCTGTGCCTGTTTGCACACACACACGTGCATGTTTGTTCTCCGGGGACTCCGTCTTTAGGGAAGAGCCTGCAGTCCCGGCTCTGCTCCAGGAGTCCTGCGCCAGCCCCGAGGCAGAGCGCTGCAAGGCTCAAGTCCTGCACCCAGGAGGAGTCCAGGCTGGCAGAAAGGCTGTTTGCAGCCCTGGAGGCTCAAGCTGCTTGGGTCCCCCTGCCCCCCAAGCACAGCCCAGAGACAGAGAGGAATCCCGGCCCCTGCTCGGCTCTGCAGAATGTGCAGAGAGCGTGTCCCACAACCCGCCCCCAGCCTCAGCCAGCACCGTCTGCCCGCTGACCCCATGGGCCTGGGGAGGGTTCCTACTCGTGGCCTTCAGGCGGGTGGGTTTCCATCTAGTTTCCACCCCAAAGAACTTGACAACTAGGGATTGCCCCCACTCCCCCCCCCAAATGCAGCACGCTCTGGGGTGGATCACAGCAAGGGACATGCAGCAACGCTGCACGGCCAGTTAGGACAGGGAGTGACAGCAGAGACCGGGGGCAAGGGGGGGCATTCAAGGAGGCAGAAGTCATCAGCCATCTGATCCAGCGCTGGGCAGGGCCACCTGCACCCCAGGCCATGGGGGACAGGAAACCGGAGCGAGAGGCTGCGCAAATGCAGGGCAGGGGTGTGGGCCGCCTGTCTGGCCGCTGGCAAGGAGACACCTGCTGCTGCCCTGAACCCAGCTGGGCCGAGCCGGTGCCAGTCTGGAGCATGGACCCATTCTCTCACCCGCCCAGCCTGGGTGGGCAGCGCAGGAAACGGGGCCGGCTGACGCTGGCTCTTTGCATCACGTGCGGGCACGCCCATTTGCACTAGCGTACGCGCTCGTGCGGACCCTGTCTCTCATACCCCTCCCTCCGCTGCTGCCCCGGCTCTGCGTGGAGGGGAGGGGGCTGCTGGCTCACCCAGAGAGCCCCACGTGGGAGCAAACACGGCCCTGAATTCAGAGATATCCAGGGCCCGCAAGCCCCGAGCCACAAAGGGACCAGCATGGGCAGGAGGCCGTAGCCGGCCGGCCTGGCCAGCCCCTTCTCTATGCTGAGCCATGCCAGCCCCTCCCCCCGAGGGTTGAACTCATCCACCCATCCCCCAACGAAGAGGGCAGTGCCAATCTACAGGGATGAAAAGTCGGGGGTGGGAATCAGGATGAGTCCAGCTCAGCCGCCCACCTTGGGCCGCCAGAACCTGGGACCATCAGATCGGCAGCACCGAGCCTCTGCCGCTCAAGCTGAAGGGAGAACTCCATCAGCTAGCACCAGAGGTAGGCTCTTATCCCCTTAGAAGCCGGACCACTAGGGGAGGTTGCCCTAGGCCAGGGCAGGTCACAGCTGCTTTGGATGGAGAGGGGAGCGACAGGGGATGGCGGGGGGTTGGGAAGGGGTGCAGGGGGCTTAGCGGGGTTGCAGGAAGGGGGTGCGACAGGGGGCTCCCCCCAGCTCTTACCGGGTTTCCTCTGGCTCCGACAGGCAGTCCAGGGTGCTGGGCTTCTGTTCCATTCACCGCAATTCCATCCAGGAGCGCTCAGGAGAGACCAAGGTGGGCTCCGCCCCCAGGTGCTCTGCACCGCGGCCGCCACGGCAGACGCGGGGCGCCGGGGGGTGTCTATGGCGCGCTCCCCATGGCGCCCGGCTCAGCGCCCGCTGGCGGAGACCATCCCCCGGGGGTCGGGGGGGGGAGGGGCGCCGATCCCAGTGGGAGACACCCTACAAAAAACAAACACGGGCTTGAAGTGGCAGCTACGGGGCCCAATCTTGGCAGAGGGCAGGGACTAACTCCCCGCCCAGAAGTGGCGGAAGAACCCCCGCTACTAAGCTGTGCTAGGGCTCTTACCGCCCCCCCCACTCCCCGCCTCCCATTGTGGGGCTCAGCTTTGCCCTGAAAGGGCCCCCTCTAGTGGGGAGCACAGGCTCCATGCCCACCCCCCCAGCCATGGCCAGCGAGAGGGCTCAGGGGCACTTGCGCCCCATGGGGTGGGGACGGGAAGGGGCCTGGTTCCGCTCTGTGAAGGACGGGAGCCATGGGGGGGTGACTGGGATCCCGTCAGCCCCACTGCAAATCCCTGTCCCCCAGGCAACACCCCCGCCCCCCGGCTATCACACTGCTCTGATGGCAGAAAAAAGGAGGGGTACAGGTGAGACAGAAAGTCAGACACGGAGAAGGGGGCTGCTGGAATCCCCCCAGGGGCTCACCAGCCCTTGGCTCCCCCCGACCCCGGCCGGGAGCCTGCCCCCTTCCCCTTCCCCTTGCTGACAGCAGCTGAGGTTACCCAGAGGTTAACAAGCAGCTGGATGCCCTCCCGCAGCCTGGCACAGGGCACAGTCATGCAACCCCCCAACTCCCCACGGCTCCCTCCCCCAGCCCTCCCTTCCCCCCATCCCAACATAAGGATTTCTGCAGACAGCCTGGCACAGGGCCAAGCTAAGCAGACGCATCAAAGGGCAGCGGAGAAGCGGGGTCCCCGCAGGGCCCCCCTCCCCCTGAGGCAGGAAGTGCTGGGAGGTGGGGGGAGGCAAGCTGTGTCCTCGGCTGACCCCAGCGGGGTCTCGCCCGGTGCGTGACGGCTGGGCACGTGTGGGAACAATCGCCCTCCGGGGTCGGCTGAGGACAAGAGACTGGCGCTCCCGGCTTCCCGGAGGACCCAGCAGAGGCGCGGCCGCCCCGGGGCACACGGCCCCGCTGCCGCCACATGAGGGCCTCGGCGGAGGGGACTTGAGATGGCAAGTGACGGGGCCTGCCAGGCATCGGGGCTGGCACAGAATCGCAGGGGTGGGAGGAGAGACGTGCCGGGTGCATTAACCTACAGCTGTGGCTTGGCACATCCATTGAGCGCAGGAGTTTGCAGGTGGGGAGTGTGCACAAGAGTTTGCACGAGCATGTGTGGAGCGTCCGGACTGGCATGCCAGCGTGCAACAGGCTGCGCACGAGGGGGCAGACCTGGGCCTGGCAGAATGCAGCTCTGGGCAGAGAAGCATGTGCAAGGGGGCAGCCTCATGCGAGAGCAGGCGCACGTGTCCCGAGAGCCGGGGGGGGGAGAGGGGAGAAACGTGTCCCGAGAACCAGGGGGGGAGAGGGGAGAAACGTGTCCCGAGAGCCGGGGGGGGGGGCGCACGCCTGTCCCGAGTGCTGCGGGTCACACACATGTCCGGGGGGCATGCACCAGTCACAAGCTCCAGCACCTTTGCCTCCTGGCCCGTGTGACACGGCCCTGATCTGCCCCCCTCCCCAAAAGCACCGGGCTCTGCAGGGCCCCCCAGAATAGCTCCGGCTCGCCCCCTCCTCTGGGGGGTGTCCCTCCCCCTGGAGCTTGTCTGTTACACCCATGGCGGGAGGCCCCGGGGCAGGAGCCTTCGGGGAGCGAGGGGGGCCTGGGCGTGAGTTATTTGGAGAGGTGGGGCTGAAGATGCCCGGCCTTCGGGCTCCCCCACCAGGCAGTCGCGGGGCAGACGGGGAGACACTGGACAGCTCCAGGGCTGGGACGCGGAGACTCCAGGCCACAGGCTCCGATCCGGGTCGGACGGCCCCAGAGCCATTCCCAGCCCCGGGGCTGTTCAACCCCCCGCTCATCCACCTGGCCCCGCCGTGGCCTGTTCCCTGTCCTGCCCTCTCTGATGACCCAGCCCAGCACCCCGCTGCCCAGTCGTAGCAGAGAGGCTAGAACTGACCACGACGTAGGGGCTGCGCTTCCTGAGGGGGGGGTGTGCGTGTCCAGGGGACACCCAGGGCCTCATCTCCCTTCAGCAGGAAGAGAGGAGCCTGTGAGCAAATCACAAGAGAGTCCCCGCACTTGCCCTGGCCTGCGGACTGGAGCCAGCAGGACGGGCACAGACAAGAAGGGGGGTGAGAGCACCACTCTCTTCCCACAGCACCCAGAGCCCCAGGTAATGGGGGGAAACTGAGGCACAGAGGGGCAGGGACTGGCAGAGGCAGTACTAGAACCCAGGCATCCTGGCTCCTAACCCCCCTCTCTGCCCACCCCACCTTTCTAAACCCCGAGCCTGCACTCGCCTCCCAGAACCGGGAGCAGAACCCAGGAGTCCTGTTAGGCCCCCGCTCTAGCCACTAGCCTGTGCGGCCTCTCAGGGTTACGGTAGGCGCAGCTTTGACAGGAGGGGGAAATCCCTCACAAGGCAGCAACCTCCCCCCACACCTTACTGTGCTGCAAGGGCTTATGGGGGATATGCAAATGAATCTCCCCTCCCAGAGACTCGGGGGCTATCCCTGGAAGTGGGGAGGGCACCGGCCCGGGGCAGTGCCATGCCCACCTGTGGCCCAGCACCTCTCCCGGCAGGCAGGCGGATCCCTACAGCGGGCACTCCCCAGGGCACCAGCGGGTGGGATGAGCCAAGGACATGGCCTCACCCTCACAGGGATTCCCTGGGTGCCAGCCAAGGCCGGTCATGCTCTCGGCCCCAGCACAGAGCAGAGCGGTGAATCTCCACAGTTGTAGGGCTCTCACGCCAGGCACTGCCGGGGAGGGGCTGGGGGCGGCTTTCCCAGCCAGAGAAAGAAGCAAGGGGGGCTGGGGACGGGGACCCGCTGGGCCCCAGAGCCAGAAACTTCCTGCTCTCAAACTCCTGGCAAGTGCCCCAGTGCTGCAAGTGAGCAAGCAACTTAAAGCACAGACCTGGGAGCCAGGACACCTGGGTTCTCTCCCAGCTCTGGGAGGGGAGTTAGGTCTAGTGGTTAGAGCGGGGGGGGGCTGGGAGCCAGGACACCTGGGTTCTCTCCCAGCTCTGGGAAGGGAGTTAGGTCTAGTGGTTAGAGCGGGGGCGGGGGGCTGGGAGCCAGGACTCCTGGGTGCTATCCCAGCTCTGTCACTGGCCTGGTGCGTGACCTCAGGGCAGACCCTTCCCCCTCGCTGTGCCTCAGTTTCCCCATCTGTACTCTGGGACATGACATGACAGCAAGCGAAGGGCAATGAACACAGGAGTGGATTTTTTTTGGGGGGGGGGGAGTGCACAGACAAGTGATTGTGTGTCAATGTCTGTGCACACATGAGTATACAAGCAGGTGTGTGAATGGGCATGCCTGCTTTCAGCCAGCCCCCTCCTTTGCCCCCCAGCTGAGAGAACCGCATCTGGTCATTGCAGCAATAGGGGCCCCACGGCACCCTGCCAGCCCATGCCGCCCAAGAGCCCAGAGCGGAGTGTGGGCCTGGCAGCACACCCCCGTGCCCGCCCACAGCCAGCGCACATGGGTGTGCCGAGCCCCGGAGGGATCACTGCAGTGGGTGTGATGACATTAAGCCCCCGACCCCCGCCAGGAGAGCAGGGACGGGTGGGGGATCAGCTCCACAAGCCACCCTGCCCTGGCTGCCCAGAGACCAGCCTGTCGTGTGCCAGGGCTTGGCCCTGCTCTTGCGGCACTGCACGGCGGGACACTCCCCCAGCCCCCTGGGACTCCCCCAGCCTGGACAGGGCTGAGAGCAGAGGCAGCGTGGCCCCGTGGCTCCAGCCAGAGTAGGGAGGGACTGGCGGTTCAAGGACACCACCTGCTTCTGCCCCGCCATCAGCCTGCGGCAGCCAACAAGCCACATGTGGAGGAGGCTGGGACCTGGCCGGGCACTGGGAAGGGACGAACAAACCAGGCCTTTTCTGGCAACCTTGGCCTGCCTCACGGCCCACTGCACAGATAGGGAAACTGAGGCACTGAGCAGCATTGACGTGCCCCAGCTCACACGGTGAGTCAGTGCAGTGGGAGAGCCAGAAATAAAACTCAGGAGTCCGGACTTCCAGCCTCACCTGCTTTAACACACCAGGCCCCTCCCAGAGCGAGGCTAGGACCCGGAGTCCCAACTGCAAGCTCTAACCATGTGACCACGCTGCCAGCGCACGCTCTGTACAGAGCACAGCGTGGCCCTGGCGAGCCCAGTGCCCAGGGTGCCCATCTAAGAAGCCTCCCTTCTCAGCTCCACCCGCGCCATGTCCGGGAAAGCAGGACTCACACACCAGGGCCAGAGCCCGCCGCTTTGCCAAGCTCAGAGCCCAGGGAGAAGGCAGGGGCTGGCCCAGCTGGGGCACACGGAGTCAGCTTTCGCTCGGACCCAGGAGTCCGGGTCCGACACAGCAGGGTTTGGAATGGGGTGAGAGGTGCTTGTCACACTTCTCCTTTCCCCCTTCTCTCACTTCCCTGTAGGGGAAGTCGCTGCCGAGCAGCTGTGGGGGTGGGGGCTGCACCCCTGGAAGGTACCAGCACTGAGCTGAGGGGCACCAGGGCTCCCGGGGTCCAGACTGAGCACTCTTGCCCCCGCCCACCGCCCCGCCCCATGGGACTCTGACTTGCAAAGGCCTTGGCGCTCCCAGGCATCACAAGATGACTCAGAAGAAAGGAACAGTGTCCCCACACCACGCAAAAGTCTGGGGCCTGACCCAGCTTCCCTCCCAACCCCGGCGAAAAGTGGGTGGCCACAGGGCAGAGCCCTGCCCCCCAGCACCAACTGCAGGTCATCGTTAAGCTCTCCACCCATCTACAGGAGCGCTCTCATGTCAAAGAACTTCCCCACCGCATGGGCACTGCTCCCCCCTCAGCCCAAATGCGACTACCTCTGGGGTGGACAAAGCAGCCAGGCAACAAGTACACAGCCAGGCTGCCCAGGGATCGTGCAGCCAGGCCTGAAATGCAGCCACCTCTGGGGTGGAGCACAGCAGCCAGATAACCGTCACTTAGCAACACCACACAGCAGCAGGACAGGAGGTGAAGAGGAAACCTTCCCGCCGTCAGAGCTGCAGATCCTCGCACCAGGCAACCAAGGGGCTGGGCACAATTCAACCACTCACAAAGGACTGGCAGCCCTGGGCCTGATGGGCAAGGGGACAGGAAGGCTCAGGGGCAGCTTCAAGGCCATTGCTGTGGCCAGCGGGGGGCCGGAGGGAGGGTGCAGAGGGGGTGGGCCATCCCCGCCGCCCTGATCTGCCCCCCAGGAGGGGAGGCTGGCAGAGCAGCTGACACAGAGCCCAGCTTTGTTGCTGCATCTCCCGGGGCGACTAATCCCCGCACCTGTGGCTGGGCCGGAGGGTTTCCAGCTCCTGACCACAGGACACAGGCTGTTCCCAGCCCGGCGCTGCCCCCCACCCCCCCCGGCACATGCCCTGCCTGGCCCGGGCACAGAGCCCAGCTCCACAGCCGGAAGGGCCCCGCAGAGCCACCCCACGTGGGATCAGACAGAGCCGGGAAACGAACGGGGAAACCCAGATCATCGGAGGAGAAATTAAAGAAAGGAAAAGCCCGCGGAGCATAGGGAACCGGGTGGGGCAGAGCAGGGAGAGATGGAAAGCCCCTCAACAGCAGGCCCCAGCCCATCCCACCTGGTTAACCACCCCCCCCAGCCCCTCCAGCCTGGTGACCCCCACCCCCAGTCCCTCCACCTGATTGCCCCGGCCCATCCAGCCTGATAAACACCCCCGCCCCCAGTCCCTCCACCTCAGGCCCCATCCCCTGTGCTGCCTCAGCCCGTGGGCCCGTCTCCCCATCCCAGGTCAGACACGTCTGCTCCCCCGCCCCGACCTTCTGTCTCTGCCACGGCCCCTGGGGAAAGCCCCCACCCCCAGCCTGCAGCAGCTGAAAACGTGGCCTGGGCGCCGGGAAGGGCCCCTCCACGCAGCCCAGGGGAAACGCAGCAGGGAGAACCAGTGACCTCGCGCACAAAGCATCCCCGCCCTCGGGCCAAGGGTTCAAGGCCGGCTGGGGCCTGAGCGAGACGAGCTTGATGGGCCTCAGCCCAGACGCTCCCAGGCGCGGCTCCAGACAGACCCTGGCTGGAACCCCTGGAGCAGGGGGCAGGTCCCATCCAGGGAGGGGGCTAGCAGGGTGCGATGGGAGAGCCCTGCCATGGACCCAGCACCGGCCAGGCCTGGCTCAGCATCGCCCCGTCCCAAAGGTGGGACCCCTGAGGGGTGCCAGGCCCCTGCAGCAGGGGCTGCTCTCTGCAGACCCCGGCGCTCCCTGGCTGCTCTGCCCCAATGCCAGCCCGGAGCCGAGGTCCCAGCAAACGAGCCCTGAGCGGGCCTGGCCTGGCGCTGGGGGTGTCTGTTGCTGTGCGGGAGATGACGCAACCCAGCCGAGCGGTTGTGAAATGCCAGGTGCTGACCCGGGTGCAGGGGCTTCTGCTGGGGACGGGGCGGGCCCAGGCTCTCTGTAAGCAGGGCCTGGCACCTGGCGCGGGGGGCTGGGGCTGGCCCGTGGCTCCGTGGGGTGATACAGAGAGTCCCCCGCAGCCTGGCATGACAGACCAGCCAGCCCCAGCCCTGTGCGGCACGCGCTGCCCTCCGCCGGGGAGCCGGGCCGGTGACGGAGGGGCTGGCGATGGGGGCCGCGGGCCCTACTCCCTGCAGGAGCGGTCACTTGCCGCCCCGCCCTAGGAGCTCAGTGCTGCCTGCTCAAGAGGGACCCCCCCCCCCCATCCGTGAGCCCCGTGGGCCCTCGGCAGGCCCCAATCCCAAGGGGAGCTCAGGCTCCATTGCCCCCGGTGCTCAGAGGGGGGAGGAGCCCCACACCCAGCGGCCGGGGCGCGCCGGGGAACATTCCACTCCCGGGGAGAGCCGGGCCCACAGTGTTTCCACGGCGCCCGCCTCGGGGCACCAGGCCCACTGCCCCACCCCCGCCCTCGAGCCATCTGGCTCCCGGAGGCGAGTCGGCGTCTCGCCCTGGGGTGTGCGTGTCCCAGAGCAGGGACGGGGCATGCCGCCCCCCCCCACATCCTGCCCCATAGGGGGTGGGGTCATAATCCATACCCTATTGGGTTCCAGACGCCAGCATGGGGCCAGGCACGGAGAGGGATTCCCTGAGGGGAACAGGGCTGAGACCCCCGCCACGCTCATCACACACGTGGGCCCCTGCGCCGCAACCAGGTCCCCACGGCCCTGGGGGCAGAAGGCCCCAGAACACATTCCCACGAGCACCCCGTTGCCCTTTAAAGCCAAGCACCGGTCCCAGGGCCACCACCAGCCGCGGGGTTACTGGTGCAGCCACCGCACGGCCCGGGACAGAACCCCGTCCCCAAAGGGCTGGGGCGCGAGGGGCGACTCCATGAGTGGGCGGCCGGCAGCAGCAGGTATTTATCCTAGATGCAAACCAGCCACTAGAGGGAGACCTGACGCACACCCCCCTCCCCAGCCCAGCACCCCCCTTCCCTCCCCCCCCCGGTGCCCCACCAGGGGCAGACGCCAACCGCACATGGCAACTTGGGGAAGGTAACAGAAAGTGACTCACAGTTGTAGGTGACACCAGGGTGGGGGGGCAGGGCGAGGCTGCTTCACGCCCCTCCTCTTCCTCCACTTGGATCCCTCCTGCAAGGAAGGTGCAACAGCAAGGTCAGGCAACAGAGCAGGGCTGTGAGGGGAGCCATTCCCACGAGCCGGGCGCCATGGTGAGGTTCAGGGGCCAGTCGGGCCCCCCCGAGCACCCGCCCAAGGGACAGGGCTGACTCACATCCTTGTCCCCATCCGGCTAAAGCCAGGCAGTGCCCAGTTAATCAATCCCACCCCCTGGGCATGCTGGGTATCCCCATGGTACAGAGGGGGAAACTGAGGCACAGAGCAGGGAAGCAGCTGGCACAGCCAGCCGGTGGCAGGGCTGGGACTAGAACCCAGGTGCCCTGCGCCCACTGTGGGGGTGAGGAGCCGCTGTGGGTGGGATGGGGAGGCAGGGGCCTAAAGCTGGTATGCTCAGCTCCATGCCCCCCCACGCTGGGCACAGAACACCTGGGCTCCAACACCCACACTCTGCTGAGGCTCCCTCTTCACCCCCGGGCCCCAGCTCTGCAGGCTCCAGCTCAAAACCAGCCTCTTAACCCGTCGCCTACTGCTGGGCAGAGCCAGCTGTCCTCCCCAGAGCTCCGATGGGCTCATCTCTTAGCTCCCCCCGACAGGGGAAGAGCTGGGAGTCCAATGGCCAGCTAACCGCCCTGCAGAGCCCCGCTAGGCTCTGGGGCATTGCTGGGGGGCAGGGGGAGACGAGGAAGAGGTGGCTGCCGGGCGACAGGATGCCATCAGTGAGTGCAATGGCAACCGGTGCCCGTGGGGCTTGGCCTCTCTCGCCTCCTTTGCTCTTCCTCCCGCCCTGCCAGTTGTGGCGGTGGCTTTGGGCAATGTGCCCATCATGTGCTGGGAGCCCCCCTGACGGGCACCTGCTCCTCACCCCCCTGCCTGCAAGCTGGCGCCTGCCCGCCCCCCACCAGCGCAAGGTGTGGAAAAGCCCTCGCACGCTTCAGGCATCTCCCGCCCTGCCCTGGCACGGCACCCGGTCCAAGAGGGGCCCCAGCATGCCCCGCTGCAGACAAACCTATCTGGGGGGTGCCCGGCTCTGGGCAGGGGGCCAGGCCGGCCATGGTGCCCAGCTCACCAGCGGCCTCTGCTGAAAGCTGCAGCCTCGATGCAAGGACAGCCGGGAAAGTAGGTCAAGTTTGTCTTGGCCAAGGGAGAGAGTCCGTGTGCAGATTTATAACATGGCAACCACCACCCGGCCGGGCACTGGGGAGAGCCAGCCCGGGGGGCAGGGAGCTGGGCCCCATTTCTGAGCTTTAGCATCCCCCCTCCTCTGGAAGCACCAGCCCAAGGTGGAGCATCAGCGGGGGATGGACCTGGTGAGACAAAGGCAGAGCGCTCCCCAATGCTGCCGGGAGAGGCACTCGCCCCCCCAAATCAGAGCTAGCCCCAGTGTGATACTGTACTAGGGGGTCCTAGGCCACAGGGAGGGGGGCAGGGGGTGACGGGCTGCAGGGAGGGGGACAGGGGCTCGGCAGGGGGCGCCAGGCTGCTGGGAGAGGGGAGGTGGGGCAGGGGGTACAGAGCTGCAGGGAGGGGACCAGGGGGGTGCTCTCCCCTCTGGCTCAGAGCTCACCCCGCTGCACGGGGCTCTCTCGGCTGGGATCCCCACAGCAGTCCCCGCTGACAGATCTCGTGGGCCGTCCCCCAAGAGGCAGGGCGTGAACCCTGGTGTCCGGGCCCATTTCCAGCTCGGGAGATTCCCAGCTGCCTCCCTCAACCCCACCCTGCCATCCCGCCTCCCGGGCTACCCCCTTGGCGTTGGCGTTGGCATGGCGACGGGCGCCCCACCCCAGAGCAGGCTGCATGGCGGCAGCAGGGGAAGCCGAGCTCTCTGAAGTGGCACGGAGCCCGGGGGCAGGGGCTGCATTGGGGGGCAGAGATCCTGTCACCCCCACCCCCCCGCCTGCCCTTCCCAGGCTCCATCGCTCCCCTGCCCCCGCTGTCACCCCTGCCCCAGAGGGGTCGCTGGGCACCTTCAGGGCAGAGCCAAGCCACAGGTGGGCAATGGCAAACGCCCTTATGGGACAGGGGTCACACAGAGGGTGACGAAGAGAACCCAGGCATCCTGATGCCCAGGTCGGTATTTTAACCCTAAGTCTGACTCCTGGGTAAAGCAAAGCCTGGCTCGTGCCTCGGCCGGTGCCCGCGTGGGTTCAGACCCCGCCATGAGACCCAGCAGCAAAACCCGGGGCGCAAGCAGGTATGGGGGGGTGTCCATGCCCAGCTAGAAAAGCCCTCCCCATCCAATACCCTGGGCTGTCACGTGGACCCCCCTCCGTGGGCACGGGAGATGCCAACACGTCAATCCCAATCTGAGCCCTCAGCCCTGCCCCCGCATCCAAAGCCGCCAGCCCCTGGTGCCCCCGGGGTCCCCTGCCAGCAGCATCGCGGGAGCCTGCTGAGCTACCCGCTCCCTGGAGAGCGGGAGACGCTGCTCTGGCCCAGGGGAAAGGGGTGTGGGCCGCTGGGTGAATCACCCAGACCAGCTCCCAGGCGGGCAGGAACAGGGCAGGTCGGGGCTGCGGGGCATCGGCAGGGCTGTCTGGGAGCCAGGACTCCTGGGTTCTGCAAGGGCATAGGTTTTCCCTGCTTCCCAGGGCCTGGGGCCTTCCCCAAACCACACCCCGTCTGCCGTAACCATTGTGCTAGATTTTCTCTTCCACCACCCGCCCTGCAACCCTGCCAAATCGCCCCTGATCCTGGGGAATCCCCGCAGGGCTCCCTTCTGCTCCCCGCCACCTCTCTCTCAGCAGGGTCTCCGCTGGCATGGCACTCAGGGCCCCCAGTGCAACACCTCCAACTGGGGGTTATTTGGGCGTTCTCCGCACTGCCCAGGAGGAGCCCCTGGGGCCGGCGCCCCCCCCCAGCAGCCCGCAGCTCCCAGCATTGCTCAATCAGGCTGAGTCAGTCACTGGCACGTCCCAGCCCAGACAGACACTGAGCAGAACAGCCTGTGCCACAGGGCCCCTATTAACCCTTCCCCAGCCTGGCCCGGGCCGATCCCTCCCCCTACCTGCTCTGCCTCCCCCCATGCACTCCCCACCCCCCCGTCTCAGCTCTCCTGTTGTCGGGGGGCACAGCCTGGGCCCGCTCCTCACTCCTCTCCCTGTCGCCAGCACCAACCCGGACTCGCCCTGGGCCTCATCCAACGCGTGGGGCTGGGTGCCCTCTGAGCCCGCGGGCAGGGAGCTGCCCGGCTCCTGGCACGTGATGGGCAGACAGCAGAAGCGTGGGCAGGGACAGCGTGGAAGAGGCTCCGAGGGCGGGTGCCCGTGAGCAGGGACGCACACGTGCAAGGCAGACGGTGCCAATTCGCTCTCCCTGTCCCCGTGTTTACACAGACGCGGCGCTTGGCAGCTCTGCACACCACAACCATGTAGCGTGGGGGGGGGCCGGGAGCCAGGGCTCCGAGGTTCTCCCCCTGGCTCTGCCCCTCCATGAATCCTTGGGGTCAAGTGCTGCCCCTCTGTGCCAGCGAAGGTGTGCTCTGGGCGTCCGGTATTTGGGGCACACAGTCCCCCCAGGCGGGGGGCACACAGGGTCCTGGACAGCGCCCCCTGTAGCTCCCTCCCACCCAGGCCGCAGGCTGGATCCACCCTCTCGGGGCAGCCAGCCGGGGCCGCTCCCTGCTCCAGGCCGGCTCTTGGCTGTGCCCCACCCTGGGCAGCGCCCACACGCTACAGCGTAAATACAGCCCGGGCGAGGGGCTGCGCCGAAGGGTTCGTTCCATCGGGGATCAGCCGCGCAAACACTTCCAAGTATAGGCACTGGCAGGAAGCCAAGGACACAGGATCTGCGGCCTTCACGGGCCGGCTCCAGCCCTCATGCTGCGAGTCTCCCGCTACCCCCTCGCTGAGACCCCCAGCCGCACAGGGACCCCCCCACCCCGAGCTCCTGTGCCCCGCAGGAGGGGATGGGGCAGGGCTGGCAGCCACCGGCTCCGTATCGCCCCAAGTTGCAACACCCCAATCCCCAGCCCATCACCCCACCCTCTGCGAGTCAGCTGCAGGGCTGCCAATGGAACCCCGGAATCGTGGCTCCCAGGACTGTGCTCAGATCACTGGCGCCAGCCCCTGTCTCTCTCTGGGGTCCTACCTGGGGAGCACTCCCTGCCCCACACTTTGCAGGCCACTGCTGCTCCCCAGAGGTGGCTGCATTTTGGCAGAGTTGCAATTCCCACGGCTCAGGCACTGGAACGACCCGGGGGCCGGTAGGAACAACGCAGGATCTGGGATCCCCAGGGGTATGCAGAGAAACCCCCACATCCAAACCCGAATGGGACCAGCCCTCCTCAGCTGGGATCAGGGCTTTACAGGTGGGGACTGTAACTCTTACAGCCCCCTGGGCTGCCCCTGCCCCCAACATGCAGGCGGGGAAACCGAGGCACAGAGCAGGAATGTTCTGCCAGCGCTAGAAAGCTTAGTGTGTGCTGACATGATCTCTCCAGCTCAGGCGGGTCTCTCCTGTCTAAGGCGCGTTCTAGCCATGTCCCTGACATGCTCCCACGGGAGGCAGCCTGGCCTCGCCGCACGGGCCCAAGTCAGGTCTGGGAACGGCCTGAGATTTGCAGCCATTCACAGCACCAGCCGCAGCCTCTGGAGTCGCTGCTCAGCGCCTGGGCCCAGCCCCCCAACACCCAGTGAGAGCCCTGCATGCCTCCAGGGGCCCATAAGCAGGGGCCACTTCTGACATTTCAAAGACAGCTGCCAAGCTGGGTCAGAGCCGGGGCCGGAAGCCAGGAGACCCCAGCTCCAGCCAGGGCTCGGTGGGCAGAACCCAGCACCGAGGGCGTGAACAGAACGAACGTGGGGGAGAAAACTCAGCAGCATTTCTCACCACGCCTCCCCCCACACCAGCCAGACACCCAGCTCCCACCCCCAGCACCGGCCAGACACCCAGCTCCCACCCCCAGACATCCAGCTCCTCCCCCCTCCCACAGACACCCAGCTCCCACCCCCAGACATCCAGCTCCCACACACCCCCCTCCGCACCAGCCAGACACCGAGCTCCGCCCCCCAGCA